GGCCCCAAGCCTCCCACACACCAGGCCTCCAGGCATCAACTCACTCTGTGCTGGGCCAGCCCTTCCACTGCAAACTCGGCCAGGCTCCGACGCCACCCTGAGGCTGGGCCCAGCGCCTCTCCTCTGTCCATCCCCATTGCTATCCACCATTGGCAAACACAGGCATTGGTGACCCACCACAGCAAGCCCCCGAGGCTCTCCACTGGCCATGGGTCACTGAGGACGGGACCTGAATCTCGTCCATCTCAGTGCCCCTCAAGACCAAGCCCCACGAGGACACTCATAAATTCTTGGTACACAGCCACTTCTCATGTGCCCCAAGCTGCACAGACCTGCCCTCACCGCGCCTTCCCTTCCGCTGGGATGGCGCTGCCTGGCAGGAGGCGGTCATGGAGCGCATGTGAGGGTGTTCTGACCGCAGGTTCCCATGACCACTCTGACCCGCCTCTCCCACCCATCTTTGGCACAGCCCCGAGCTAGAGCGCCCTCTCCCAGTGGACCCTCCAACCCAGTCCTCAGCCAGCCCCAACAAATGGCCTTCCCCACCCCCATCCTGGGAGCTCCCAGAGGGTGACGGCACCAGCATAGTGGATTTGGCATCTGCAGTCTCAGTGTATGCTCCAGAAATGTCTGGAGCACTGGATGGCCTCAGCCCTGCGCTGGATGAAGGCCGGGCATCCCCAAACCCTGACCTCTCGTTAGAAAACCAAACATGGTGGGGGTAGGAGGCAGGAGAAGACCCATGCTGTGGCCAGAAACCCACGTGCCCTGAGGCGCTCAGGCAGAGCCAGTAACCATGGCAACCTCAAGGATGCCAGCTCCCACAGCCCCCGCCTCTCCTCCGCCCCGGGGGGCGCCCCGCAGACTCCCGACCAGCGGGACCCCCGGGGCGGGACAGCCATGCGCTACTCACATCATCCACACGCCGGCCGCGATGTTCAGAGGGTGGATGGTGATGCAGTTGAAGAGGCCAGAGATCGCACAAGCTTCAAACAAGAGACACGGCAGAAGTCAGTGGGAGGCAGGCAGAGCCCGCTGGCATGGCGGCCCGGGGAGGTGACTGGAAAGCACCAGAGTCCCTGCGGACACGTAGCACACAGTTCTCACGGCACCCAGAAGCCTGCCCTCTATCATCTGAGACGGGTGGGGAGGCGCAGAGTGGTGCCAGGGCTCGCCCCAAGCCCCAGAGCAAGGTGGCAGCAAGGTGACAAGTGGGTCTCACAGCTGGCCGGCTCTGGGCGCTGGGAAGGCTACGAGAGTATCTCGCCCTCTCTCCACTCCAGGGCTCGGAGGAGCTGGCCCTTTGACCCCAGCTGCATCAGTACGCACCTCAAAGGGAGGCTAGGATTAAAGAAGGATTAAAGAGGGAATGTCCCTCAAGGATTCAGGCCAGTGCTCCCCCGAGACTCAGCCTTCAGTAAGGGTCACTTGTCACCATCACAGGGCCGGCCACACAAGAAGTCCTCTGACTCAGAAAATATGGCTTGGATTTTGGTCAGGACAAGGGGTGCCTCTCTCAGAACAGAGATGGAAACCAGGTAAGACCGAGCGGCAGTTCCGGCTCCGACTTCCTCGCCAGCCCCGTGCCACTGCTCACTATCTTCATCTTCCCAGGCCCGCTTTCCCTCTTGCACGTGAGCAAGTCCCACAGCCCAGGGAACCCACCACTGAAATGCCACGAGGCCAGGAGGGGAAAGGAACATCTTCCTGCACCCCAGAACGTGGCTTCTCTGATGCCCACATGTGCAACCTTGAACCCCGCCTCCCGGCTGCACCTCACCAGCCAGGTCTCTTGCACCCAACTCCCTCTTCTAGCCACAGCCTGCAGCCCAGCTTCACCAGGAACTCCAGGAGCCTTCAAGATTGGTCCGAGGAGCTGGCTGCTGGGCAGGGAGCAAGCCCAGGCCATTGCTGGGACGGGGGCCTTGGAGGCAGCAATTAGCAACCAGCTCATTAAACTTGCAGAAGCTCCTCTGCACCTGATCCCTCCACCCAGGTCTGGAATTCTGCCGTTTTCCATTCTCCCAGGTAACCTTATGCAGACAGCAGGCAAGGACGCCAGATCAAGTGAGCAGAGCTACAGTGCAGTGTGGGCCCCTGGGTCTCCTCCTAAAACAAAGTATCAAGCGCTGCACTTATCCTAGGCACAGCCTTCGACATCTGCCTCACACAGCAAGATATTCCAGAACCATGGGTGCACAGGGGCCTGGCTGCCCCAGCAGAGTGCCTGAAGGGCAACACAGCTTCCTGTCTCTCTGCTGTGCCTGGCCTCACCTGACAGCTGGGCTGTGCTTCCTGCTGCAGTCAGCATTTGGCCTCTAGCTCCAACCCTACCCCAGCTGTGCCACCCACAGTCAGCCTTGGGAGAGGACCAGGCCTCAACCCAGACCAGCAGGCTCCAGCCAGGAATCCCTTAGCAATAAAGGGCTGGAGAATGTCCACTCAGGGGCCTCAATGCTGATATCTTCCATGTGAGGGGGGTGGTCACCATGCAATCCTGTCCCCTCCCAAGGTATCACTTCCAGGTGCTCTTAGGACCCAGGGGAGACCCTCTCCAGCTCCTCTCTCTGAGCCTCCCACCCTGGGGGAGGACAACCTTATCCCAAGGACCGGCCAGGCATACAACCCTTGTCTGAATTCCTGCTGCATCTCTCAAACATCCTGCATTTTTGCCTTCTCCCCTGTAATACAGCATTTGATATTCACAAAACAATGCCCCTCAAAATCTGCAGATGCGACTGACAGTTCAGGGCAATGCCACAGGTTTCTCCCGAAGCTTCATGTGCAGGCCCAACGGAGCACCAGGAACTCCTGGCGCAGGCACAGGCACCTCACTTTGCGAGGCCCAGAACTGAGGAAGACTCCAGGGCTAATCTGGGAGTCGGCAGGACCACTGACCAAGAAGGAAGGAGGCAGTGGCCTACAGGCCGTAGTCAGGACCTTTCCTTTCTCACCACTGACCACATCGCCCCCTCTGCACTGCCCACCCTAATCTGCAGGGAAAACAGCTAACCAGTCATGAGAAGACCGGATCCAGCGCCTATCTTCAAGCCCACGAGTCTCTCTTACAAAGTCAAAAGCATGCTTGCTCTGGACAGCAGAGACAAACTCAGGGTCTTTTTGTGATATTGGGGTAGGGCCTGCCCTACAGTATCCAGCTGCCTCTGGACAGGGCATCTAGTGAGGGCAGCACAGTCCTTGCCCCGCACCCTCCTGCCTCAACCTCCGTCCGCCCTCAACTTTCTTCCACCCTCACCCACCTGGAAAGGCTGTGGAACCCAAGGTGACCCTGAAAAGGTGGTCCTTCTGGCAGGAGAGCTGATGGGGTCTGCCCTGCCCAGGCCCAGATCTAGCCCTCTGTGCCAGGCAGGCCCCCGTTTAAACCTTGCAGATGTCCTCGACAGACATTCTCTAAGACCTTGCCCAGTCCAGTAATTCACAAGGTTGAGGGCAGACAGGAAAGGAAAGCCTATCATTCAGACAGACTTGTATTTTCCTGAACGGCCGGCTGCATGACCTCCCTTCACTCCTGGAGCACACCTGCCTCCCTCTCTGTCCTTTCCTGGCCGCACTAAGAGCCTGGCTTCCCAGGGAGCCTGAGGTCAGGGTCTGCGTCTGGGATAGGGCGGAGGAGGGGAGGAGGCCAGTGACAGGCTAGCTAAGGCAGCAGCAATGAGGGAGAGAGGACCCAGGGAGAGGCCCGGCCCTCAGCTCACTGCCCCACCGTCCCCTGGGGCCACCTGTGTTCTGACACCACCTGACTCTCGGCAAACTCCCGCCCAGCGGCTTCCAGTCACACATCTAGCCAGCCATGCACCAGCCCAACTTATAAACAATCCTCGCCCAAAGGTTAGCAACGTGGCTGCCGTCACCTACGCCCAAGTCAACAGTTGACCCTTACTACGGGCCAGGTGGGCATGCGCCCCGTAAGCATCTCTGAAGTCAAATGAAAGTCCCTGGAGGGTGAGGGGAGGGGCTCAGTCACGTGCCCCACGCCGGCAGCCCCCCTCCCCCCTTCCCTCCCCTCCCCTCCCCTCCTTTCCCTCCCCTTCGTCCCCCCCCCAACCCCTACCCCGTCCTGGCGTTTCTGGTCCCTCCCGGAATGTTACCAGAAGCACCAGCCCAGCCCGTGGTACCGACGTGCCCAGGCCCTAGCCGGTAGCCATGGGAACCCCGGGACGCCGGCTCCCGGCTGCCCCGCCACTCCTCCGCCCCGGGAGACGCCCGGCAGACCCACCCGACCCCAGCGGGTCCTTCCCGTGGGGTCGTGCGGGGCGGGGCAGGGCGCGCATGCGCGGCGGGGCCGGCCCCTTTCCCGAGCGGGTACTCACAGACGGCCCCCAGCACCCCCGACAGGCGACACAGCCAGCGGTACCACCACGTCATGCCCTCTTCCTGCGCGGGCGGCGCGGAGCTGGCAGACGCCGCGGCCGCCCCGCCCGAGCCGCTCATGGTGCGGCCGTCCGGCGCAGCTCACAGCCCTCACAAAAGGATCGGTAGCCGGCCGCGTACGAGCCGGCGCGCTGCCTTGTGGGAGAGACAGCATATTAGCATAGGGGGCGGGGCTGCAGGCTTTACAGCGAGTTACGCCTGAGGGGAGGAGGGTGCTCATTAGCATAGGGGGCGGGCCCCGCAGGCTGCGGCGTAGCGCTGGCTTGTTAGCGTACGGGGCGGGGCTCGCAGGCAGCGGAGAGGTGTGCCCGAGGGGGCGGGCATATTAGCATAGGGGGCGGGGTTTGGTGGCGCGCGGACACCTTAGTGGTCAAAGCCTTACACCCGGACACACGAGTGCGGCTTCGCAGGGAGCTGGCAACTATGCCAGCCTCGTAGCTCAATCCTGATAGGCTTTTCTCCCTGGATAGGAAGAAGATAACTAGACGTGTCCAGGGACTTGCTCAGATCAGATAGAGCCAACCGCTGCAAGCGAATCCCTGCCTTGCCGTGGGATGGGTTTTCAAGCCAGGTCTGGACAGCTTGTTTATAAGAAAAAAACGCCGGTTAGGCTGCATGTTTTATTTATTGGTACCCGAGGAAATGGGGGCTGCCTTTCCAAAGTCCCCACCTCCAACCCTCTAGCCTTTTGGACATTGGAGAGGACTCTCAAGTAGATCTCTAAGATTGGAGAAAGTTAGAATTGGAAAGCACTGAGACCAGAGGTCAACCCTCCAGGGCTGGCCAGACACGTAACAGATGTTCAACGACCGTCAGGTTCCTTCCTTTCCCTTCCAGGACTGAGGGTCCTGCTCTGGCACCCAAGATTGGAGAGTCCAGTACTGGCCCCGCAGGCTGGCCTTTGCCTTCAGGAAGCCCTCGCTGAACTCCATCTCAGCCTGGCTGCTCTCTGACTCCCAGTAGAGCACCTGCTGCCCACGGAATGTTGTGGTCCTCAAGCTGTGGATGTCCCGGATCTGAGGGAAAAGGGGCAGCCCAGAAGGACCAGTTACACGAGTGATAATTAGCATTCACAGAAGCCTCAATGTGCAAGGGCTCGTACATTCAGGACCACATTTAATGCTCACAAAGCCCTACTAGGAGGACACTATGACTCTACCCAGGAAACCAAGGTTCAGGGAAGTTATGTCACTTCCCCAAGGACACGCAGTCGGGGTGCCAGACCAGAGGCCAGGCTGCCTCCTCTGCGAAAGCTGATACCCTGCAGAACAGCTCTCCCAGAACACTCGAAACCTTGGGGAGGGTGCGGGATGCTCTTCTGTCCCAAGTTATATCAGCCTATAAAATTATGCTTCAGTCCTGGGTTAGCTGTCAGTCTACATCAGGAAAGGTCTTTAGTATTTCTTTTTTTTTTTTTTTTTTTTTTTGAGATGGAGTCTCGCTCTGTCCCCCAGGCTGGAGTGCAGTGGCCCTATCTGGGCTCACTGCAACCTCCGCCTCCCAGGTTCAAGTGATTCTCATGCCTCAGCCTCCCAAGTAGCTGGGATTACAGGCACACGCCACCAGCCCCCTGCTACTTTTTGTATTTTTAGTAGAGATGGGATTTCATCATGTTGGCCAGCCTGGTCTCGAACTCCTAACCTCAAGTGATCTGCCCTCCTCAGCCTCCCAAAGTGCTGGGATTACAGATGTAAACCACTATTTTACTATTACAGGTAGCTCAAAACACATTTCTTGGTGAATATGTGGAGGAAGCTCTCTTCTCCCATTCTTTCACTAATGATTTTGAGGGTTTTAGTCTGAAATAAACTGAAAGGGGACCCCTAGCCTGCGCCCCCTAGGGAAATCTGTCCAGAATCACAGCACAAGTCCCCATGTGGGGTCTCACCGAGATGTAGCTGTGATTGGCTCCCTCGGTCCCAGTGCCCATGTCAGTGGCCAGGGCACGGATGGCAATCCGGGCATGTGGAGCCACATTGATGAAGAGCCGGCAGCCCCCTGCATTCCTCGTGGCTGGACTCGGTGAGGGGCTCACGATTTCACCCCAAGGCCCAAAGAGCTGCATGTCACATTCTGCAGAGGAAGCAGGTGGGACATAGGAATCCAGAGTGACCACTGGTGCCAGAGGCCAGGACAACTCACAGCCAGGGAGCAGTGCAGGGTAGCATGGCACTGTGGTCAATATAGGGGTTCCCAGGCAAACCCAGCTGAGCCCAGTGACCTTAGACAAAGGCGAAATGTTCTGGGCTCCTGTTCCCTCCTCTGTAACTGAAGAAAACAATGGCATGCACTGAGCAGGGTGGTCTTTAGGACTCAGTGACGTCACACGTGCAGGAGTGTTTAACACTGAACCTGGCACCAAGGATAGGCTCCACCCATGTCGGCCACTGCTGCTCCTCAGAGCGCACTGGAGCCCCCACCTGCCTATACCTGCACCTCTTTCAAGGCAGGTGGCATGTGGGCTGGGCCAGGCCGGAGAGTGAGAAGCAGTGTGAGCTGTGACAGTGGGCTCATGGCCTTTCAGCAGGGCCTAGCAGCACCTGTACACTGAGGCACATGCACAGCTCTCTGCCCGGGCAGGTGCTGGGGCAGGGAGGCGGCACACTAGGTCTCCGCAGAGGCTAAGCCCTGTTGCCGCTAAGCCCCTGACGCCTGGGGGAGCCAAGGAAGCTCTGGAACTGGCTAGGAAAGCCAACCTGGGCCAGCTCGGGCTGTTGGAAGACAGAAAGCCCCCCAAGGCACCTGAGAGGGCTATCAGAGGGTATCGAGGGAGCCATGGGCAAGGCAGGGGCCCCTGAGGTGCCATCCTCTGCCTGAAGTGTGCTTGTATATGCTCACACCAGTGCCCCGGAACAGGGCTGAGGGACAGTGGCTCCCACAAAAACCCTAAATGGCCTTGAAAGGCTGGCAGGCTGCAGGCAGGGCGGGTGCGTATGGGGCAAGCGGCCCGAGGGACCAACTGAGGATGTGGACCATGTCCTATATCCGTCCCTTTTGCTGCCAGGTCCCAAAGAGGAGGGATGTAGCACCCATCCTGTGACTCCCTGGCATGTGCAGACTGACACTGGCCAACCCCAGGTCCTTCTATCTTAGTTGGCTCTCTCCATATCTTTCCACTGCCCCACTGGGGCAGTCCCCTCCCCAGTCCCCTCCCCAGCAGCACCCACTGAGCCTCCCTGCCAGGACCAGAGCACCCAGAGGAGGTGGAGAAGGCTGGGCCATACCTCTGTAGAAGGTTTCCGGGGCAGGCTGGCTCCCGTACCGCAGCAGCACGCCGCCTCCCAGCCGCCTGCAGCGCTGCCTCACCACCAGCGTGTTGGTCTTGGAGCTGAACGTCACGCCCAACAGCTTCCTGCACATCTTCCTCCAGGTAAGCCGGCCCCAAAGCAGCAACATCTCCCCTAGGAAGGGGCAGGGCGGTGAGGGTCCAGCACTCCCATGCCTGGCCAGCAGAGGAGTGGCTCCAGGGCAGACTGAGCTGAGTTCAAGTCCCGCCTCTCCCACTGCTGGCCATGTGACTCTAAGTAACTGGGCATGTTACTTAATCTCTCCCAGCCTCAGTTTCCTCATCTGTAAAATGCTGATCATCATGTCCCAGTCATGAGATGGGATGCAAACTAAAGGCGGGAATGCATTTGGGGCCCCTGCCAGCATCGTGCTGGCTCCTAGCAGGGCCCGTCACTGGCAGCATTGCCTGCGTGGCCCTAGACATACCCGCGCTGCAGTTGAGAGAGCTCTCAAGGACGCGGAGGGTCACCACCTCCCCAAGGGGCCGCCCAATGGCCACTGCACAGTCTGCCTGCCCTGGGCCTCGCATGTCAATGGTTCCTGTCGGCTCAAGGAGCTGCCTGCCACAGGCACCTGAAAAGGGAGCAGGAGGCAGGTAAGCAGCACTTCTGGGATTCCCAGCAGGGCACGCTCCGGGGCTTTCAAGCTGAGGAAGGAGACCAGGAGGTAGGGGTGGACCCTGTCCTCCACAGCCCAGCTGGAAGCCTTCTCAGGACAAGGACAGGGACTGCATGGGTCAGAGCGTCACCTTCAAGGCACAGAGCTGCTTCCAGACGCTCCGGCAAGAGGGGCACATGCAGAGCAGCCCAGAGGCCAGGGGGCTCACAAGTTACTTCCTCTTGATAGTAGTAAAAGGGAGGTTCTGTGCAATCCCAGCACTTTGGGAGGCTAAGGTGGGCAGATTATGAGGTCAGGAGTTCGAGAGCAGCCTGACCCACATGGTGAAACCCCATCCCTTCTAAAAATACAAAAATTAGCTGGGTGTGGCAACGCACACCTGTAATCCCAGCTACTCAGGAGGCTGAGGCAGGAGAATCGATTGAACCCAGGAGGCAGAGGTTGCAGTGAGCCAAGATCACACCACTGCACTCCAGCCTGGGGGATGGAGGGAGACTTCGTCTCCAAAAAACATTTTTTTTTAAAGGTGGGGAGGTTCTGCTTTGCCAGACAGGAAGAGGGCCAGCCCTGATCCTGGGTGCCAAGCATGCATCCCAAGGACCAAGTGCTTGTGCCAGTCCCTCCCAGAGGGAAGGGCTGCCCACCAGTCCCACAGCAGCCGCCCGACAGGAGGGAGGACAGGACATAACTGGACTGCGCTGGGCTTTTCTGGTGCCCGGGCAGGAGCCGCCAAGGCTGGGGAGCCGGGGAGAAGGGCAGGGCCTGGGCCTGGGACCACTCGAGAGAAGCACCAACAGGGGTGGCTGTGGTCCGTCCTGGAGCAGTGGCTTCTTCGTGGGGCGCCAGGCTGGGCGTCCACTGTCCCGCACAGGGCCCAGCCCAGCAGCCACGCACAGTCACCGGCTTGGGCAAGTGCTGGCAGAAGGCTGTGGGCACAGGCGCCTGGGCCTGGGGTCCCAGGCAGATGTTACGCCGGCGCTGAATGCCGTCCCCACAGGAAACAGAGCACTGCCGGGAGAGGGGAGGAGGAGTCACGGCTGACCCTGCCAGAAGGCGACCAGGACAGTGGCAACCTCAGGCCAGGAGTGATCCAGCATAATCTTTGTACAAGCTAGAAGGTGGGTAAGTGTCTCCATTCTGCAGATGAGAAAACTGAGGCTCAGAGATGGTGCCTGGTGTGTGGCTTACGTAGGTGGGAGGAGCCAGAAGGGAAGCCTGGGCTGCTATCACCCTCATGGCCTCTCTGTCTCTCAAGCCTTAGAGCAATCAGGCCTGCGGGGCTGTGGGCTCATCTCTCTCTGCTGTGCCCCGTGTCCCCCCCACACCATAAGCGAGCCCCTCTGGGGAGAGCCCGAGCCCCATTTACCCTTGTCTTTCCTGCCCTGCCGAGAGCATGGCACAGCTGGCATTCCCTCATCCTTGTGGAGCTAAGTGGCCTGCGTTTCATCTTCCAGCGTCCCCAAACCCCAGGGCCTCTTAAGCCCAGCTCCCACAGGTCTCTAGGCCTCTGTCTCTCTGCCTCTAGGTGCCTCTCCCCAGCAGGCCCCAGCTGTCTTCCTCCTTTCAGGGGACACATGAGCCAATGCCCCCTAGGCTCCCCCACACATGAGGACCCACAGCTGATGCCCGCCCCAGCCCCACGGGGAGTCCGAGCGCCCGCTGTGCTCACCTCCGTCCAGGCTTCGACATGCCAGCGGTAGGTACAATCAGCACTGAGACAGGGGACGCTGGCCTGGGGCCGCACCAGAGCCGCACAGGCCGCCTCGTCCACCTCCACGTCCTGGGCTTGGTCGAGCTGCACACAGGCCACCGAGCGTCTAGCAGTGCCAAGGCCACAGCTGGCTGAGCATGGGCCAAGGGACATGACTTTCCACCTGCAGAAAGAGAAGACCCCAGAGAGAGGCTGGGCCTCCCCAGAGACGGTACCGCCCCACGCGGTCCCCTCTCCACCCTCAGGTCCTTGGACACTTGTCTAGACAGCTTCCGTGGTCAGGGAAGATGGGAAGCGCAGCCACTAAGCCCCTCCTGTCTGGGGTGAAGGCTCGCGGCCATGGGAGAGCTACCAAAAGGCTGGGCACAGTGTCTCACACCTGTAATCCCAGCACGTTGGGAGGCCAAGGCGGGTGGATCACCTGAGGTCAGGAGTTCAAGACCAGCCTGGCCAACATGGAGAAACCCCATCTCTACTAAAGATACAAAAATTAGCCGGGCGTGATGGCACATGCCTGTAATCCCAGCTACTCAGGAGGCTGAGGCAGGAGAATCGCTTGAACCCGGGAGGCGGAGGTTGCAATGAGCTGAGGTCGCGCCACTGCACTGCATCCTGGGTGACAAGAGACTCAAAAAAGAAAGAAGCCTCTTTCTCCCTAATCACACATCCCTCTCTAGTTCCTTATCACAGAATACCTGTCAGCACCCCAGGGGCTGCCAAGTAACAGCGACAGGAAGTGAGCCCCTGGGTAATGCGAGACAGATGTCAACACCCCACGTTCTGCAAGGGAAGTCCGAGGACCTTAACACTGACCGAGTTGACTGGTAATCATTGAATAAAGAATTATGGCCCGTATTCTTCAGAGCCCGGACGTGAATCCCGGCAGCCTGCGCAGGAGCTGGGGTCTTCATCGTGATCCTGTGCCCCGCCATGACCCTGCAGTGCTGCCTTCCATGGCCTGGCACTGTTCTACATGACCCTGGGAGGTGGCAGTGAGCCAAACCAGACCCCACCTCCTCTCGGAGCATGGATCGTTCTCCACTTGGGCACCACTGGCATGAGGACTGAATGCCGTGTTGCCCTCGGGGCTGTCGTGTGCACGGCAGGAATTTTATATTTTATTTTAAGGGTTTTTTTTTTTTTTTTGAGGCACAGTCTCACCCTGTCACCCAGGGTGAGGAGGGCTGTGGTGCAATCACAGCTCCCTGCAGCCTCGACCTCCAGGGTTCATGCCTTCCTCTCACCTCAGCCTCTCAAGTAGCTGGGACTACAGGCTTGTGCCATCATGCCTGGCTAATTTTTGTATTTTTTGTAGAGACAGGGTTTCACCATGTTGGCCAGGCTGGTCTCGAGCTCCTGACCTCAGGTGATCCTCCCACCTCAGCCTCTCATAGTGCTGGGATTATAGGCGTGAGCCACTGCGCCTGGCCCCATGTTGTAGAGACGGGGTTTCACTATGTTGCCCAAACTGGTCTAGAACTCCTGGGCTCAAGTAATCCTCCCACCTCGACCTACCAGGGTGCTGAGCAGAGCCACAGGAGGGATGAGTGTGTCGTTCTGGATGGGTGCTCAGGGAAGGCTCTGGGCCACTCTGGAGTTGTGGTGTCTGAGCTGAGCCTCAGGGAGGGATATCCAGGGCCTCGGGGCATCCACAGAAGACTTCAGGCAGCGGGAGCCAGCACAGAAGCCCTAAGTCAGGAGGCTCCCTAGAATGTTCTAGGATAGTAAGGCCAGGGTGGCTACAGCAACATCAAAAGGTTAGCCAGAGATCATGTGGTATGCGCCTGCATCCCAGCTATGTGCCTGCATCCCAGCTATGTGGGAGGCTGAAGCAGGAGGATCACTTGAGCCCAGGAGTTCAAGTCCAGACTGGGCAACATAGTGAGACCCCATCTCTAAAAAAAAGTGAGGTGCAGGCCGGGCGCGGTGGCTCAAGCCTGTAATCCCAGCACTTTGGGAGGCCGAGGCGGGTGGATCACAAGGTCAAGAGATCGAGACCATCCTGGTCAACATGGTGAAACCCCGTCTCTACTAAAAATACAAAAAAATTAGCTGGGCATGGTGGTGTGTGTCTGTAATCCCAGCTACTCAGGAGGCTGAGGCAGGAGAATTGCCTGAACCCAGGAGGTGGAGGTTGCGGTGAGCCGAGATCGCGCCATTGCACTCCAGCCTGGGTAACATGAGTGAAACTCCGTCTCAAAAAAAAAAAAAAAAGTGAGGTGCAGCTCAGTGGCCCAAGAGGCTGTCTGTAGAGAACAGGGCTACCTGGCAGGCTGTGCTAGGTGTGGGAGGTGATGTTTAAGCAACATGCAGGCAGGGTGCAGTGTGAAAAGCCCTGTAATTCCCACAAAATCCCAGATCATCTCTAAATGTGATGTGGAAAAATAAATGGGGCACACAGCCGAGGGACTTTAGCATAGGCAGAGAAATAAGGACACAGTAGCGACACAGATGTTAAATGGTTACAAAGCTACAACATTTAAAACAATTCTTTTGGGCAAGGGAATAGCTAGAAAAAACCCACAGAAAGCAGAACCCGGCAGATCGCTTAAGGTCAGTAGTTCAAGACCAGGCTTGGCCAGCACAGTGAAACTCTGTCTCTACTTAAAATACAAAATAATCCCAGCTACTCAGGAGGCTGAGGCATGAAAATTGCTTGAACCCAAGAGGCAGAAGTTGCAGTGAGCTGAGATCACACCACTGCACTCCAGCCTGGGCAACGGACAAATACTCCATCTCAAAAAAAAAAAAAAGAAAAGAAAAGAAAAGAAAAAACCTGGTAGAAAGCCTAGACATAGATTCTAATGTACAACATGAGCAAGGAGCCACCTGGGGGAATCAGGTCTTGTTCAACAGATGCTGGTTAACAATTTAGAAAAAAGAATCCCTTGGTCCCTACTTTGTAACATACTCCAGATAAATCACAGATTAGTACAGGATTTATATTTAAGTAAAATCTTTTTTTTTTTTTTTTTTGAGACAGGGTCTCACTCTCACTCAGGCTGGAGTGCAGTGGTGGTGGCATCTCTGCTGACTGCAGCCTTGACCTCCTAAGGCTCAGGTGATTCTCCTGCCTCAGACTCCCAGGTAGCTGGGAGTGCTGATGTGCGCCACCGTGCTCAGGTAATTTTTGTATTTATAGTAGAGCCGAGGTTTTGCCATGTTGCCCAGCTGGTCTTGAACTCCTGGGCTCAAATGATCCATCCATCTCAGCCTCGTAAAGTGCTGGGATTACAAGCGTGAACTACCACTTCCAGCCTAAATTTAAGGGAAATCTTACCTGTAACCGGATTTTATTTAAAACTAGAGACTGACCTGGTGCAATGGCTCACGCCTGTAACTCCAGCACTTTGGGAGGCTGAGGTCGGCAGGTCTCCTGAGGTCAGGAATTCAAGACCAGCCTGACCAATATGGTGAAACCCTGCCTCTACTAAAAATACAAAAATTACCTGGGTATGGTGGTGGGTGCCTGTATTCCCAGCTACTCAGGAAGCTGAGACAGAAGAATTGTTTGAACCTGGGAAGTGGAGGTTGCAGTGAGCCCAGACCACACCACTGTACTCCAGCCTGGGCGACAGAGCAAGACTCCATCTCTAAATAAATACAAGTAACAGGACAAAAAAGTAAAGGAAGGAAACATGGCAGTAGGGTGCTATCTATGAAATCTGAGTGCTGGAACATGTACGTCTGTTACATTCTTTTCTGGATGTTTTTGTACGGTATAGAAAAGAATGTATTAAAAATGCAAACCTACAAAAAGAAACCACTAAAGAACGTGAATGAGGTGGGTGAATGTTCACCCTTAATCACTGGGCTCTAGACCCCACAGTCTAGAGCAGGAAGCTGTCCCATGTCCCCGTGTGTCCCTGTGGGGACCTCCACCCCTCCCGTCTTCCACAGCAGAGGGCTGGTGCTCACAGCCTCGGGTTCCGCTCAAATGCGGACTCATCTGTCTCCCAGGCCTCCCTACACCACACCCTGCCCGCATGGTGCTTAAACTTCACCTCACACCTAGCACAGCCTGCCAGGGAGCCCTATTCCCACAGACGGGCTCTTGGGCCACTGGACCACCTTTGTCTTGTTTTGTGTTTTTGAGACGGAATCTCGCTCTGTCACCCAGGCAAGAGTGAGTTGGCACGATCTCAGCTGACTGCAACTTCTGCCTCCAGAGTTCAAGCAATTTTCCTACCTCAGCCTCCCGAGTGGCTGGGATTACAGGTGCCCAGCACAATGCCCGACTAATTTTTGTATTTTTAGTAGAGATGGGGTTTTGCCATGTTGGCCAGGCTGGCCTCGAGCTCCTGACCTCAGGTGATCTGCCCGCCTCGGCCTTCCACAGTGCTGGGATTACAGGCATGAACCACCGTGCCCAGCCCCGTCCTGTTTTTTTAAAGATGAGGTCTCGCTATGCTTCGCAGGTTGGACTTGCATTCCTGGACTCAAGTGGTTCTCCTGATTCAGCTTTCCAAGTAGCTGGGATTATAGGTGCATACCACAGCGCCCAGCCTGCCATCTGCACACACCAGGAGCTGCCCTTCCCGTCACCGGCTGACTCACCTAGGTGGGCAGGGCTCCAGGCTGCAGGCCTCCTGGGGTTCTGGGCGAGGCAGTCCCTGGCACTGGGTGTCCAACAGGATCTCTTCATCATCGTCCTCCCCATGGGCCCGGGCACAATACAGGATCCTCTGCACGACCCCTCCCCCACAGCTCACGCTGCAGGCCGCCAGCTTGTACCGCCATCTGGAGCAAACCGGAGTCAGGGACGCCAAACAGCCCCAGGGCCTGTGAACCCAGGGGAGCCAGGTCTCCCCGCCATTTCCCCAGACTAGGAAAAGACAGGAAGCTGGGAAGGGCCTGGAGAGTGTCTCTTTCTGGAGGCTCCCTTGTGTCCTAAGAGGCTTGGCAGAGTGGACAGAATATTTGGACAAACCCATTTTACAGAAGGGAAAGGTGAGGGCAAAGCACAGGTGTCGTATCCCAGAGACAGTGGGGGTAGGGTCCGGGCACCCAAGGGCTCTGCATGTCTGTCTCGAACAGTGATCCCAGCACCAGCGCCCCAGAGCCCACCCCGCCAGCCCTCCCCACCTCCCCGCCGCTGCGTTTGGCTGCATCGCACTGAAGCCCATCCATCAAACTGTATTCCACCTCTGTCCTCTTATTATCTGTCCCTCTTTCCCCTTGCATTTGCTCCAGGAGGTCAGGGACATCTGTCTGCCTTGTTCTCTGCTGCCTTGTCCCCTAGCTCCAGGACAGCCCTGGGACCTAGGTGCTCCATGATGAAGGAATGCACCAGCAGCCACGTGCGCCCGCAGCGCCCCGTGCCATGCACTTCGCACACGTTGCTTCTAGCATGCACTTACATTCACTGCATTTAGCATGTACTTTACATGCATTTAGTCCCTTCATTAAACGCCCCCCAGTCTTCTGGGGGCACTGTATGTCCTGCTCCCACGGGTGAGGACATTGAGGGTCAAAAGATTGGGCCTAGAGATGAGGGAAGAACCAGGACGCAGACCTAGAATGTCCCATGTCCTCGGGAAGGGGCCCACCTGGCGGGGCAGGGCTCTGGGCTGCAGACTTCGAGGGGGCTCGGCTGGGGCTCTGGCCCACACTTGGAGTGAGGCAGGGGGACGGGGCGGCCACGGTCCAGCCTCACGCAGCACACAGCCAGCGGCACCCGCCCCCCTCCGCAGGTCACCGGGCATGGAGCCAAGGCTCGGGTCTCCCAACTGCAGGGAAAAGGCCAGCACTCTGTAGGAGGCCACACCCTAAGGCCAGACGTCCCCCGAACAGTCTTGCTCCCCTCACTCACCGAGCAGGGCACGGGATAGCCTGGCAGACCTCCCACCTGCTCCCAGGCTTGCTTGCCAGGCCACACAGCTCCTCCTGGGCAGGCACCCTGAGGGCAGAGTCCATGCACAGGAAACGCAGCTCCATCAGGCCTGCAGGGATGAAGCAGAGAACCGGAGCCCCAAGAGTCAGGCCCAGCAAGGACCACAACCTGGGCTCACTGGGCAGCTCTGGCACATGAGGCCTGCCTGGGTTTCAGTCCCGGCTCTGCCACTTACCAGCTGTGTGACCTCAGACAACTGACTTCACCCCTCGGAGTCTTATATTAAAAAAAAAAAAAAGATAATGGCATCTACCTTGCAGAGTCGTTTATATTTATAAAAGGGGAGACAGAAAAGCGCCTGGCACATAGTCGATACTTGACAAATGGCAGCAATTATTGTTTATTGAGAGGCGTTATAAGAATTGCAATATGGGCCAGGCGCGGTGGCTCACACCTGTAATATCAGCACTTTGGGAGGCCGAGGCGGGTGGATCACGACGTCAGGAGTTCAAGACCAGCCTGACCAACATAGTGAAACCTCATCTCTACTAAAAATACAAAAATTAGCTGGGTCCACGTGGTGGCATGTGCCTGTAATGCCAGCTACTCAGGAGGCTGAGGCAGGAGAATCACTTGAACCCAGGAGGTGTAGGTTGCAGTGCGCCGAGATCACACCACTGCACTCCAGCCTGGGCAACCCTAAGACTCCATCTCAAAAAAAAAAAAAAAAAAAAAAAAAAAAAAAAAAAACACCACAGATTTGCAGTAGGAAAATCTCTTGTTGCGTCTATCACAATGATGTAATTAGGCCCAGTTTTCTCAAGTCTCTCCTTTAGGAATATCCTCAAAAGAAATAGGCCAGGCTCAGTGGCTCATGCCTGTAATCCCAGCACTTTGGGAGGCCAAGGTGGGCAGATCACCTGAGGTCAGGAGTTCAAGACCAGCCTGGCCAACGTGGTGAAACTCCATCTCTACTAAAAAAAATATGTGTGTGTGTGTGTGTGTGTGTACATAAAAAGTTAGCCAGTTGGCACACACCTGGAGTCCTAGCTGCTTGGGAGGCTGAGGCACAAGAATTGTTTGAACCTGGGAGGTGGAGGTTGCAGTGAGCCAAGATCGCACCACTGCACTCCAGTCTGAGCGACAGAGTGAGACTCTGTCTCAAAAAAAAAGAGAGAGAGAGAGAGAACTCTCTTGGTTGGGCAAAGTGGTTCATGCCTGTAATCCCAGCAATTTGGGATGCTGAGGCAGGAGGGTCGCTTGCGCTCAGGAGACCTGGATGGGCAGCATAGGGAGTCCCCATCTCTGCCAAAAATAAAACAATTAGCAGGACGTAGTAGCTACTCAGGAGACTGAGGTGGGAGGACAGCTTCAGCCCAGGACGTCAAGGTTGCAGTGAGCCAAGATTGCACCACTGCATTCCAACCTGGGTGACAGAGCAAGACCTGTCTCAAAAAAGAAAAGAAAAGAAATCTCTTTTTGGTCTCGGTTTTATTTATTTATTATTTATTTGTTTTGAGATGGAGTTTCACTCTGTTGCCCAGGCTGGAGTGCAATGGCATGATCTTGGCTCACTACAACCTCCGCCTCTTGGGTTCAAGCGATTCTCCTGCCTCAACCTCCCAAGTAGCTGGGATTACTGGGGCACGCCACCACAACCAGCCATTTTTGTATTTTTAATAGAGATGGGGTTTCACCATCTTGGCCAGGGTGGTCTTGAACTCCTGACCTTGTGATCTAACCACATCAGCCCCTCAAAGTTCTAGGATTACAGGCATGAGCCACTGCGCCCAGCCTGGTCTCAGTTTTAATCAGGCTGACAGTTTACTGAGCAAGTGGTTAGGGTTTTAGTTTAAGAACATGGTGTATCTTCTCAAGCCCATTAGGATGGCCACTATAAAAACCACAGAAATAGGCCAGGTGTGGTGGCTCAGCCTGTAATCCTAGCACTTTGAGAGGCCAACGTGGGCAGTTCACCTGAAGTCAGGAGTTCGAGATCAGCCTGGCCAACATGGTGAAACCCTGTCTCTACTAAATAAAAATTTGGCCAGGCATGATGGCGGGCACCGATAGCCCCAGCTACTCGGGAGGCTGAAGCACGAGAATCACTTGAACCAAGGAGGCAGAGGTTGCACTGAGCCAAGACCACACCACTGCACTCCGGCCTCAGCAACATAGTGAGACTGTCAAAAAAAAAAAAAAAAAACCGCAGAAATAAAAAGTGTTGGCAAGGATGGGAAGATGTTGGAACACTTATGCACCATTGGTGGAAATGTAAAATGGTGCAGCCACTGGGGAAAACAGTCCAGCAGCTCCTCAAAAATTAAACAGAGAATTCTGATCTGACCAGTACCACACTTCAGGGTATACACCCAAAAGAACTGACAGCAGGAACTCAACAGATGCTTGCACACCCATGTTCACAGCAGCGTTATTCACAACAGCCAGAATGTGGAAGTAAGCTGAGCGTCCATGGATGAATGAACGGGTAGACATGTGTGGGATGTGCTCACAATGGAATCTTCCTCCTTGTTGAGAATGAAACTCTCACACAAGCTACAACATGGGTGAACTGTGATGACAGAAAGCTCAGTGAAATCAACCAGTCACGAAAAGGCAAATACTCTATGATTCCACTTCTACGAGGTCCCTAGAGTCACAGAATTTGGAGACAGAAAGGAGAAAAGCGGTTGCCAGGGTCTGGGGAGGGGAAATGCAAGTTCGTGTTTCACAGGGACGGAGCTCATATGGGAAACTGGAGACGTTCTGGAGAGGATGGTGGTGACGGCTGCACCACAGTGCAAATGTGCCTGATGCCACTGACCTGCACAGGCAGAAATAGTTATGATGGCAAATTTTATGATATGTGTGTTTGACTGCAATAAAACAAGATTGGGAAAACCGAAGAACACTGTGTATCTGAAAGCTAAGGTTTCTCTGCTCAGGCCGTCAGTTGGGGCCCCCTCTGGCAGCTCTGCGGGGGCCAGGAGGAATGGCTCTGGTGCCACACTGCCAGGCATTACCATCTTTTCCTTCCTTTCAGCCAATCAACGCCCACATCTGAAGTGGCTGTCAGTGATTGCACCCAGTCTCCTTGTATATTACCGTGTGCTCCCATGCAGTCTGGATTTTCTGTAATCCACCTCAAATGCTTTTAGAAGGCGGCAACATGCAAGTGGATAAGAGTTACCGTGAGTACTGGTCCCCAGGAGCGTCCTAGGGGTCCTCACCTCGCCCACAGGAGACGGAGCACGGCCCCGCCAGAGGGGTCCACACAGGTGCAGCTCCAGTCCACGTCCTGGTACTGCCCCATGGGGAGAGAGCCTCCTCCCCTGCAGAGACGGCATCCAGCTGTGGGGAACAGCGACAAGCTGGTGGGTCTGGGACTCCTCCGAGCACCCAGCGACTCCATCCCGATTTTCTCAGGAGAGGGAGACAGCAGGAAGTGGCCTGTGCACACCAGGGGCTCCCTCCCTGCTCGCTTGGTGAGACTGGCTCTCCGGTCTCCCGGCAGGTGTCCTCGCTGCGTGACCACCTTTGCAGGTGCCTCAGCAGCATGAGTGCTCACTGTGGGCCTGGCCAAGAGCTGGGGACCACAAGTGGGACGTGGGAGCATGCGTGGCCCTGCAATCCCCCCAGCCATGAGGGGCAAGGGTTGCCAGCACCCAAGCAAGGCCAGTCAGCCTCCAGCCCCTGGACGCTGGGCGGGAGTCTGGTAGCATTTCTCTGTGCAGCAACTGCATTAAATTCCTCAGATGCTTCTCTCAGCCCGGCTTGCAAGGGGAACAGGACATTCCCCGGGGCCCTGGCCCCTCTTTCTAAGCTTATTTTCTGAGCAGGGGTAGCCCTCGGGCAGCATTCCCACAGAAGGACGGTGTTTGGGCTCTGGCCCGGAGGACACTGGCAACTGGTGCTCCTCCTTCTCACACACCCAGATAAAGTACTCAGCAGCCAGCCACCCTCGTGTCCAGGACACTCACATGGCCCCAGCCTGGAGGGCATGTCATCCTGGTACAGGGCTCAGGGGCAGGCAGCTTCTGGTCTATGGAGCCGGGCCCCACAGTCGCTGGAGCCTCCAGGCTAACTGCCCCCGGCATATCGGTCTCATTCTGCAAGGCCAGGCCTGCTCCACGGGCAGATGTGCGTGGGCTGGGCTCTGACACCTCCCACCTGAGGATGGCATGGGACAGTCATCAGGCCCTGCCTCTGCCACCCAGCTGCTTGGGGCAGAGGATCCGCTCCCCAACATCCAGGAGCCCAAAGAGGGGCCCCACAAAGAAGCGAAGCTAGGGTCTCTCCCTGAAGCGCTGGGTTCCCCATTCATCAGCCATCAGGTTCCCACTCGACAAGCCCTCGCTGCTCGACGGTCAGGCACCCCACCTGCACCCACGGTGCAGAGACAGAACCCATCCCTGGCCGGGTGCAGTAGCTCATGCCTGTAATCTCAGCACTTTGGGAGGCTGAGGCGAGCAGATTGCTCGAGCCTGGGAGTTGCAGACCAGCCTGGGCAACATGGCAAAACCCTGTTTCTACAAAAAATACAAAAATTAGCTGGGCTTGGTGGCGCACACCTGCCAAGGCAGGAGGACTGCTTAAGCCCAGGAGGCAGAGGTTGCAGTGAGCCAAGATCATGCCACTGCATTCCAGGCTGGGTGACAGAGCAAAACTCTGTCTTTAAAAAAAAAAAAAAACAGAGAGAGAGAAGCTCTCCAGAGGCAGAGGCCGACCTCCAGCCAGGCAATCACTGACTCCGTGCAGGAAAACAGGTGCCACATGGAATCGGATCACCAGGTTCAAGGGTAGCCAACAGGTGTCAGCTGTGAGTCAGCCCTGAGCAGGAGTGGCTGCCTGGAGAGCCGTGTTGAAAAGGATTCTGGGGCCCCATCTGGCCTCAGCAGGGAAGAGTGGGGACTGCTTTGTTTGCCACAGATAAGAGGGCGGGGAGAGCAGCCCACCAATGATCCAGACCAATCCCCTCCCCCCAGACAGGTCACAAAACAAGCCCACAGAGGAGGGGACCTGCCCTGCCATCCAGCCAGGTAGTGGCAAGGTAGAACGATAAGCCACTGTCAACTTGGACACTGAGGGGATGAGATGCGGCCACATGGGCACCATGGAGATGGTGGTAACGAGGAAGTGACATCTCCTGCTCTCCCTTCACAGTCTGACCTCATCCTTGCAGCCCCCGTCCACTCATCCCAGGCAGGTCGGCATCCTCATTTCAGAGCAGGGGCTCGGAAGCTCAGAGAGGGAGACAATGGGCCCAGGCTCTCCTGGGTAGTAAGAAACTGATGCCAGCACTTACAGCTGCCAGGTGACACTGCCCATCACCCAGGATGAGGAGGCCCTGCCAGAGAACTCAGGAGGAGGGGGTGCTCAGAAGGGCTGGGGCTCACAGTGGGGGTGAGCTCTCCCAAGGAGGCCCTGTCCCAGCCCCACCCAGCTCCATGCTCACCTGGCAGGGCAGGGCTGGGGGTTGCAAGTTTCTACCACAGCTGGCTGCTGGGCCTCTGCTCGGCACCAGGCTGGGGGCAATGTCTTCAGGAGGCTGCCGTGGGCCTCCACGCAGCGCACTGACCGCTCCCGCAGGCCACCCCCACAGGAGGCGCTGCACGGGCCGAAGTCTCCCACTGCCCAGCTGAGGAAGTAGACAGAGCGTTGGGGCCCTGGCCAGGTCCCAGGCTGGCTTCGGGTGATGGAGTGGCGGGTGTTGAGTTCCCCTGGTCTGGGACAAGCCCTGGCCACTAAGGCCAGCCCAGCCTCTCCAGGTGTCCCCCAGCTGCTGGACAGATGCCTAAGCCTGAGGACATCCATATCACATGCTGCTGGGCAGCCACCCCCATCCTGCAGCCAGCAGGGATGGCCTTATCCCTAACAGTGTGCCCCTGCCAGGTGTGGTGACTGCTAGGGGCTTTGCAGCAGGAGCTCCCCAAGTCTCCCCACAACCCTCCAGGTAAGCGATCACCTCCATCTCACCATGCGCACCTGAGCTCAAGGTGGTGGCCCAGACAGGTGGCAGCAGGTGTGGGTCCTGCTGGGCTGACATTATAACCATGTCTGCCCCGAGCCTCAGTGTCCTCAGCTGGAGAATGGGGGCACTCACAGAGCCCCCCTCGCAGGGCTGTGGACAGGAGTGGTGAGAGCCTGCACAGGAGCAGCTCAGCCCGGCCCACACCACGTGGGCCTCACAGGCCAGGGGCAGAGCCCAGCAGCCCAAGATGAAACTTCTCTCCCCACTGGAGCTGCACAGACAGCACCACACTCACTGCGGAGGGCAGGGTTCGAGCACGCAGGCCTCTGGCCAAGCTGGTGGCTGCTGGCTCCCTCGGCACTGGGCAGTCTCCGCCCGCTCCATCCTGGTCTGGTCCAGGCAGCTGTAGTTTACCCAGCGCAGCCCTGGGAGGGGAGAGGGAGGGCTAGGCCGCCTCCCTGCAGGGGCAAGCCGTGCTGTGGGCGAGCCTTCCCCAGGCCTCACCTGCCCCACAGCTCACTGAGCAGGGCCCGCGCACAGCGGCCCACGCCCAGGCCTGCCGTGGCTTAGGCTGGAAATAGGTGAAGGTGACGTCTGGGCGGGTGAGGTTGCCATACTCCTCGCCGTACCGTCTATAAACCTGCACACACGGACAAAGCGCTTCAGGCCTTGTCCAGGGGGCTCCCTGAGGGTCACTGTCACGGCCACCTCCCCTGGGAAGCCCCCCAACTTCTTCTTCCATCCCTATCATCTTTGATTCAACAAGCAATCACTGGCCAGGCACGGTAACTCACGCCTGTAAACCCAAAACTTGGGGAGCCTGGGGCGGGCAGATCACTTGAGCCCGGGAGTTCCAGACCAGCCTGGGCAACACAGCGAGATTCCATCTCTACAAAAAAGTGAAGGAATCAGCTGGGCATGGTGGGGCATGCCTGTGGTCCCAGCTACGTGGGAGGATCACTTGAGCCCAAGAGGTGCAGCGTGCAGTGAGCTGTGATAGCGCCATGCACTCCAGCCTGGGCCACAGCGAGACCCTCTCTCAACAAATAGCAAAAACCAAAATAATGACAGGCAATCACTGACACTGACCTGTGTCAGGCTCTGAGGACAGCACAGTGCACAGGACACTGCCTGGGCCTCAAGGAGCTCCCAGTGGCTTGGGATAGGGGGCTGGGGGTGGGTAATTGGCAAGCAATTGGTAGGTTAGAGGATACGGTATTTGGGTGCACAGAGAAGGTTCCCTAAGCTGGGTCAGATGCCTGTGGCTCCCTAGAGGAGGGCTGGGGACCCTGGGAAGAAGAGTCACTGACATATGCCTGTGAGGCACCTTGGGCTGGGCTAAGGAGGCCAAGAAGGGATAGGACAGGGCCAGCACAGAAAGTGCTTCTGGACCAGAGCTGAGGCCCAGGCGTCGGTAGGAAGAAACTGGATCCCTGGGGCCTGCGACCGACTGCTGGCTTGGGCCTGGCCCGGAGCACTGGGAAGACTCAGCAGCTTCCTGGGCCTGTGGCTCTTCAGGAGGGTAACTGGGTCCTGCGCCCAAGGCCAGCCCAAGACAGACACCGGCTTGGAGGCCAGAGCCCGGGGCAAGGTGACACTCAACACCTGCCCCTGATGCCCACGTGTGGCCACCCCACAAACCTGTGTTGGTTACAGTGCGGCTTCTCAGGCCCAACGCAGGGAAGTCCTGATTCAGGGAGGAGGCAGAGGGACCAGGAATCTGCCTTTTTACACACTGCAGAGGATGCCGGGAGAGCCACTTGGCAGCCAGCGTTTGGACACAATGGCCCAGGCAAGGGGAGGGAAGGAAGGGATCCTACTGGGGGCAGGGAAGGGGTGATGCTGGTCGGATCTGGGGGAGGAACCGTAGGGGGGGTGGGCGCTGCTAGAGCAGCCAGCAGGGACCGCTGAGACTGGGCCCCTCTGCAAATGTTCTCAGGGCTGTTTCAGCTGTGCTCATTTCTGTCCATGCTCCACATGCCTTATTCAGCAAAGCGCCAGAGGGGACGCATGCAGGCGAGCACATGTCACCAAGGACACACCTGAATGCAGCCTTCTGGTTCCCATGCACCCTGCCCCAAAGAAGCAATGAGAGCCACGTCTGTTCTCAGCTTCCTCGGCAACAAGGCCTGCTCCCCAGATGCCACGGCACCTACATGCATGCCTTCATGTCCCCACAGCCCTTCATCCCTCCCACACAGACACGGTTTCCTCAGCCATGTGCTTCCCTCCCTGCTTGGCCCAGAAGCGCCTGCTCACCTCAGACCTCAGCTCCATCACTCTTTCCCAGAAGCCCCCGACCCCTGCACGGGGCGCTCCAATGCTACCTGATCCCAGAACGGCAGGGCCTTCTCCCATGGACCTTGGGCACAGGCACATTTTAATATTCATTTGTGGGACCCGAAGCCCCTGGAGGAGCTAGTTATATTTTACGCTAGCTACATTTTGCCTAGCACAGGGCCCAACACATAGTGGGTTCCCTGCAAGTGACCATGGAATGAGCGAATGAACACATCAGGGAATGATGGATGGATAAACGGGCCAGCAGCTGTAGCCCCCAAGAAGCCCCCGCCGGCCTCCCCCAGGCTTTCCTGCCGACCTGGATCTCAGCGTCTTCCTGGAGGGGTCCCCAGATGCGGATCTCCTCCAGGCGGGGCAACCGGTCTTCGGTAAGGGCCACTCGGTACTCGACACGGCCATCCTCCAGGAGGGAGGGGTAGGTGGTGCTAGGGGAGATACTCGACTTCCCAGCCACCACGTAGCGTGCTCCGATCCTCACCGCTGCAGGGGAACCAGCCCCGTTAGTCGTGTGGAGCTGAGCCCCCCTCCTCACAGCACAAGTCCATGACCCTGCTTCCCGGGGTCCCCAGTCCTCGTCTAGGGAGCCACAGGCATCTGGCCCAGAGGCTTCGCCACAGCTGAGGCTCTGCGCGTCTTTCCACAACCTGGTGAGTGCCATGACCTGCTCCCTGACCAAGTGCACTCATGCACGGAACTCAGCAGGCTCAGGGCTCAGGGACCCCACGCCAAGTGCCGGCAACCAAGGCTTCAAAGGTCAGGTGCAGGCACCTTCCAGAAAGAAAGACCCACTGTGCCCCTGAATATCAAAGAAGCAGGTCTTCAAAGAGAAGCCCAGCCTTTGCTGTTGGCTCCAAGAGGAAACACAGGCCACACCAGTCACAAGTGTCTTCCTTTAGGGCAGGGGCTGGCCGCACAGAAAGACCAACTATGTGATTTAGGGTGGGGGCTTTGGGTCGCCAGGAGACTGAGGGTATCCACGTCGCCAATGAATCAATCGTGTCTTTGCACTCAAACCCTAGTAAAAACTTGGTGGGCTTTCTGTGTGAGCAATACCCCATGCATGTGGCCACTCTCCAGTGCTGGAAGGGTGTCACGTCCCTGAGACACGCAGGCCTCCCGTTTGGAACCTCCCAGACTGCCTACACCTCTTCCCTTGGACAGTTCTAACCCGTGTCTTTCTCCTGGAAGGAGCCACAGTCACATGCCACAGCGCTCCGTGAGTTCTGGGAGTCTTCCTAGTCAATTGTCAAGCCTGAGGGTGGTTTGGGGAACCCCCTGAACTTACGGCTGATGTCAGAAGTGAGGGCATCTTGGGGACCTTTGCAGCCTAGCTAACTGGGTGGGTGTCCTCCAGTCAACTCACCCAAGTGTGTGAAGAGGGGCCGGTGGTTGGCGACGTAGACACTGGTCAGGTTGGGGGTAACCGTCAGAAATGTGACATATTCTAGGAAGAAGCAAGGGAGACATGCGGGAACCTCACAGACACCACGTCACAGGCAAAGGGAGCTGATCTCAGCTGGTCGGGAAAAAGCTAACAACGCCGTGAAGCTGCCTCCAGCAGCAGTGAGTCCCCTGTAATGGGGGCAATCAAAAGCAGGCCGGAAGACCACCTGCCAAGGCTCTGCCCTGGCCGGGAGAAGGGACCACGGCCAAAGTTCTCGAGCATGACGGGGCACACCAGAGGGAGGCAGGGTTCAAGTCTCTGCTGACCAGAGACGCACTGGCATTTGCAAATGATTTTTGACCTCATAAATAAACAAAAGTCAAGGATTTTCCAAGTGTAAGTACCGTCCCCCTCATTCACTGCTGTCCCTCTCAATGTCCACCTTTCTTTCTTTCTTTCTTTCTTTCTTTTTTTTTTTTTTCTGCAGCACAGCTACAGTGAGCGACCGTGACTGAGGCACCGCAGTCCCAGCAGCATCAAGGCCAAAAGCTGAGCCTGCCACAGGAGGGCGGCGAAGTGGAGGAAGGAGAAGCTGGCACAGCAGGAGGCATCCAGGGCCGAGTGAGTGTGCCAGCCCTGTGTCCCGAGCGGCCCCTGCCCCCACGCTCGGGGCTGCAGTGGTCCCTGGAGGGCCCTGAGGGAGGCCGCCTACCTCCGGCTTTTCCAGCTGTGAAAGAGCCCTTCCGGGGGCTGCACGTGCTGTTGTCCCCACCACACACGTGGCATGCGTCCCATACCTGCTGGGAGTCCATCCTGCCATCACAGCCAAACGTCTATGCAAAGGGAGGGACAGAGGGCCATTGTCACTGGAGGGTGCTGGCCTCACCAACACCACAGTTCTGCCAGCTCTGAAGTTCTGGGATCCATAAAACCAGCGACACTTCTGTAGCACCCAACATCCACCCAGGAAGCAAGCATGGAGGGCTCAGTGACTCGCCAAAGATCGCCGTGCGGCCCTTACCCCAGGCCAACTCCAAGTCAGCACCACTCCTGCAGACTGCACTGCAGCTCCATCGGGGCCAGCACCCACCCACCTGCCCCAGGAGCCTTCTGATAGGACAGGCAGGCCTCAGGGCCATCGCCAACATCCACACATACCCTGCAGCTGCCTGACACGCACAGGCTCAGGGTCCCGTCCTCCCGGGGGCCACTTGGCACACACCGGGTCCCATCCAGGAAGCTGTCTCCACGCTTCATGATGAAGTTCTCGCCAACGGCCCGGCACATGTGTCTGCACAGAGCATCCCCTGAGAGGGCAGAGTGAACAAGGGGTCCTGAACCAGGCAGGAGGGGCAGGCCCACCAGCCCCCACCCAGCTTCATCCTTTGCATTTGGGGCAAGGGTTTCTATTCCCTCCTCCACCCCAACCTGCCTCCTAAGGCAATAATCCTAATCACAATCCTAATCTAATGTAATAACTGATGGTATTGAATTATGAACCAAGGCCAGGCACGGTGGCTCGTGCCTGTAACCCAAGTACTTTGGGAGGCCAAGGCAGGCAGATCACCTGAGGTCAGGAGTTTGAGACCAGCCTGGCCAGCATGGTGAAACCCCATCTCTACTAAAAATACGTGGTGGCATAATCCTGCAGAATCCTGAGGCATGAGAATCACTAGAACCCCAGAGGCGGAGGTTGCAGTGAGCTGATATCGTGCCACTGCACTCAGGCCTGGGAAATAGGCAAGACTCTGTCTCAAAACAAAGAATCATGAACCAAGGAACACACTTGGTGTTTTCCCTGATTATCTCCCCAAATCCCTGTAGCGACCAGGGAGGGAGTTACTGCCATTACGTCCATTTCACAGATGGGAAATTGAGAAGCAGAGATGGGACGTCAGTGCCTGATCTACCAGCAAGGCCTGCCCACGGTGTGATCCATGGCCTGTGGGAAGCCAGAGCCTGAACCCACCTTATCCAGTGCTCGAGGGATGGTAGGCCCACCCCCCATGACTCTGCCCAGTCCGAGGGTCTCCAGGGCTGGCTCCTGCCCCACCCCAGCTCCGCAGACCCCACCTTGGCTGTGTGGCACGGCAGCGCCCCAGTGGTGGAAGGAGGTGCCGTCAGGGGAGGAGTGCAGTGGCTGGCCATCGGTCCTGGCGCACTGTTCTGACATGAACTCCAGCTGGGTCTTCTCGCAGGCCTGGCCGGGAGGAGGCAGAGGACAGGCAGAGGAGGGGCATGGTGGGGTGGGGGTTGTCCCTGGGAGACTGCACAGCACTCTGCAGTGTAATCAATATGTGGGTGTGGCCTCAGCTCCAGGCCATGCCTCGGTTCCCTGCTCTGTAAACTGTAGTGACAAGAGCGCCTGCCTCTCTCTACTGATGGGAAAACTCTGGACAATCAGTAAAGAACGCCGGGCAGCAACAAAGAAGAAAGCCGAGAAAGAGCGTTATGCTCAGAGCCTCTGCTTCTAAGGCCCAGACTCGATCAAATGGGGACGAGGACGTGTGTTCCGTAGGCAGCCCACCTAGAGAAAGGTAACCAAAGGGAGGCAGGCAGCCAGAAGCAAAGCCCTCACCACCAGAGCCTCTGCACACAGGCAGGCATGCTGAGAGAAGATAATCGGACTTGACTCCCCGGGCAGCCACGCTGGCCATGCTGCCTCCACGAAATCGCACCACCCTGTGCTCCAGCCAAAGACCCTGCCCTCAAGGTCTGGAGAGGTCTTGGAGGTCCATTTGGGGAAGGAGGAAAGGGAGGGTCTCATCACATGCAGAACTGCGGTACAGCCAGGGCCAAACCCATGCCCAGGGCCATCCAAGCAGGGGGCAGAATTTTAACTCAATGTAAAAAGAATCTTTCACCATCTCACACCACCAGGATGGCCAAAATCAAAAAACATAAAACAGGCCGGGCGCCGTGGCTCACACCTGTCATTCCACCACTTCGGGAGGCCGAGGCGGGTGCATCACCTGGGGTCAGGGGTTCAAGACCAGCCTGGCCAATATGGCGAAACCCCATATGTATAAAAAAAAAGAAAAGAAAAGGAAAAAAAAAACAGAAAACAGGAAGTGCTGCGGCAGATGTGGGGAAACGCACACTTGTGCAATGCTGGCGGGAAAGCGAAACAGTTCAGGCACGTGGAAAATGGTTTGGCAGTTAATCTAGAAGTAAAACATAGCATTCCCACATGATCCAGTAATTCCACTTTTCAGACACTCCCAGAAGAACTGGAAACAGGGGGCCGGGCACAATGGCTCACGCCTGTAATCCCAACACTTTGGGAGGCTGAGGCGGACAGATCACCTCAGGTGGGGAGTTCCAGACCAGCTGACCAACATAGGGAAACCCCGTCTCTATTAAAAATACAAAATTAGGCTAGGCACAGTGGCTTATGCCTGTAATCCCAGCACTTTGGGAGGCTGAGGTGGGTGGATCACCTGAGATCAGGAGTTCAAGACCAGTCTGGTCAATGTGGTGAAACCCCGTCTCTACTCCGTATACAAAAATTAGCTGGGTGTGGTGGCAGGTACCTGTAATCCAGCTACATGGGAGGCTGAGGCAGGAGAATCGCTTGAACCCAGGAGAGGGAGGTTGCAGTGAGCTGAGATCTTGCCATTGCTCTCCAGCCTAGGCAACAAGATTGAAACTCTATCTCAAAAAAAAAAAAAAAAAAAAAACGAAAAAACCCCTGAAAACAGGGATTCAAACGTGTACAAGCACATTCATAATGGCTCTGTTCACAGGAGCCAAAAGGTGGAAACACCTCAAATGTCCATCAGCAGATGACTGGATGCAAATGTGTTCTGTCCCTGCCGTGGAATATGATTCAGCCGGAAGGAGGAATGAGACATTGACGCAGGCTACAGCGCAGGTGAGCCTTGAGGACATGGCTGGCGGGGGGAGGGAGGCAGACAGGAAGCGCACCTGTCGTCTGGTGCCAGGGACGTGGCATGTCCGGAACAGGTCAATCCACAGGGACAGAAGGGAGACCAACAGCCCGAGGTAGCAGGGCTGGGGGAAACGGAGGGTGACGGCCTCTCGGACGGGGCTTACTCCAGAGTACTGGAAACTGTGGAAATGGTTTGGCAGTTTCTTTAAAAAATGGAGCTTGCACAACCTTGCAAACATGCTAAAGGCCACTGGGTTGCCACTTTAAAATGGTTGATTTTAGGCTGCGCAAATGTCACCTCAATTTATAAATAAAAGACTCCTTTGCAGCCATGCAGCTGGGCACTGCATTCCTAGCGGGGAGGTTCTCCCTGCATAGATGAGCTCTGGAGGGCAACATGGCACTCATGGAGGCAGGTGGGATGCCTCAGGGGCTTTGTGGCCATCAGCAGGACTGGCCTGGTTTACAAACTGGGGTCCCAATGTCCTTCTCTTTCTTTATTTTTATTTATTGAGACAGAGTCTCATTCTGTTCCCCAGGCTGGAGTGCAATGGCCCAATCTCAGCTCACTGCAGCCTCCACCTCCCGGATTCAAGCGATTCTCCTGCCTCAGCCTCCCGGGTAGCTGGGATTACAGGCACATGCCACCACACTCCGGTAATTTTTGTGTTTTCTGTAGAGATGGGGTTTCACCATGTTGGCCAGGCTGGTCTTGAACTCCTGGCCTCAGGTGATCCACCCACATTGGCCTCCCAAAGTGCTGGAATTCCAGGCATGAGCCACCCCACCTGGCCCCAATGTCCTTCTCAAATGTGTCGTGGTATGAAACACACATGTATTCTGGTGTGAACCTGGACTCCCCCGAGGCCCAGTGCCGCCAGCTGCCCCTCCTGCCCCAGGAAACAGGCCTACCTGAGTGTTGCACATCTTGGCCTGGAGGTCAGCACCAACACACGCACGCCCCCCAAAGGCAGGTCTGAAAATGCCCAGGAGACAGGAGGGTAAACGCTGCCTTCAACTAGGGAATGTGATGTGCCCACCCTCCCTGACGGAAGAGCAGCCCTCCCTGCGGTACCTGGGGTTGCTGCACTGCCGCCTTCTGGTGACCACACCTCCTCCGCAGGATCGGGAGCAAGGACTTGGGGGACCCCAGCTAGACCAGTGCCCATTCACTGCTGCTATGGGGGTCAGCTCCACCAGGGAGCGGCAACGGCCCTTGGAGCACCACTGCAAGGCAAGAAAGTTTCACCTCCCGTCCCACGGTGACCCCACCACAGGACCCCCAGCACACACAGGGACGTCACCCACAGGGACCCCCAACACACAGAGACTCCCCCAGTATACTCAGAGATCTCCAACACACAGGGATCCCACCCACCGGGACCCCCCCAACACACACAGGGACCCCACCCACATGGAGTCTCCCAGACCCACAGGGATCCCCACAACACCCAGAGACCCCCTAACATAGAATCCCCCAGAGACCCCTAGACACACAGCGATCCCCCAACACAAACAGGTACCCCACCCACGTGGATTCTCCAGACCCACTGGGATCCCCTAATACCTAGAGACCCCCAACATATATACATAGAACTCCCCAGGAACCCCTCAACACATAAAGATTCCCCAACACACCCAAGGACATTACCGACAGGGACTCAACACTCACAGGGTCCCCTTATACAGGGATCCCACCCCTAGGCACCCCATAATCACGAGGACCCTCACACTGGGACCCCACGCATAGGAACCCACAACCCATGGGCACCCCCATACAAGCAGGCAGCCCACACTCCCATTCTGCATGGGAGCACATGATGAAGGAAAGAGGTCAGACCACCAACCCAAAGGACAGTCACCAGGGCCAACTCCGGGGCTCTCTGCCCCACACAGCTCCTGCCTCCCGACTTAGGAACAGGGCAGCCTGGCTGCAGGCACCCACGCGCACATGCTCACAGGAGCCCTCTCATTCGCTCTTGGCTCTGACCTTCTCCACGCCACATTCTGTCCCCTCCAGGAGAGGGACGAGGAGGCGGCTGCAGCTGCTGTGGTCCAGCGGGTCTGTGTGGCAGGAGAGGGCCTGGCACATATCCTAGGAGGGTGTACAGGTGGCGGGCTCAGGGGCCATCAGGGCCTTCCAGGTCAGGTCAGTGTCCAGCCTTAACTGTCCCTCCCAGACCGCAGGACACACTGACACAGCCAACACCCTGCACTGCGGGCACAGATACCCTCAGAGGACAAGGCATGACCAATGCATAGATGGGGAACTGGGATCATGACCAGGGCCCACCACGCTTTTGGGGGCCCATGGAAATGTGGTTTTTGTTTTTTTCCTTTTTTGCTCTCTTAACTTGTCACTGACTTGAAGCTCACCAAGGAAATGTCTTAATTTCTTTTAAAAATCAGACAGAAGAGGCCAGGCGCGGTGGCTCATGCCTGTAATCCCAGCACTTTGGGAGGCAGGTAGATCACCTGAAGTCAGGAATTCAAGACCAGCCTGGTGTCCCAACATGATGAAACCCGGTCTCTACTAAAAATACAAAACTTAGCTGGGTGTGGTGGTGCACACCTGTAATCCCAGCTACTCAGAAGGCTTAGGCCCAGGAAGGATGGCTTGAGGCTAGGAGTCTTAGGCCAGCCTGGGTAACAAAGGAAGACCCCATCTCTACAAAAAAAAATTTAAAAATTAGCTGGGCATTGTGGCATGTGCCTGTAGTCCCAGCTACTCCAAGGCTAAGCCCAGGAGGTTGAGGCCACAGTGAGCTATGACTGTGCCATTGCACTCCAGCCTGGGCAACAGAATGAGGCCCTGTCTCAAAGAAGAAGAAAAAAATACTTGTATTTATAATAACACATAAACTTTACATATTGTATAAGAATATTAAAATATAATTCTCAATGGTTTTTATGGAGGAAGGGGCCCACCAAGGCAAAAGTGACTGGAGCCCATGAGTGTCCTAGGCAACCCTGTGAGGAAGTCTGTCTTTTGGAGCGCCTGTTATCCTTCATCTCCCGTCTCCCTGCCAGCCCCATGTCTGCTGTGGGTTCAGTTTGGAGGCCACTTCCTCCAGGAAGCCCTCCAGGCTGACCCCAGCCCCAACAGATGGGAAGTCCTTGGTGACTGTTTAAGATTGGTGTCCTCACTCAGCCAGGAATCCTTGGGTACAGGGGCCCTGCCAGGACTAGCTACATAATTTGTGGGCCCCAGTCAAACTAAAGTGTTGGGGCTTTTGTTCAAACATTTTAAATAATTTATAGAGGCCACAGACAGCATTAAACTAAGCCACCCTGACCATACGTCCCCGCACGGCACCCAGCAGGTGCTCACGGTGCACCTGGCAGGCATGTGAGCTGGGTGGTGCAAGGGACCACATTGCAAACCCCAGGCCACTGTCGGCCAGACTCACCAGGTGCTCCCTGGCAAAGGTGCAGGCGACAGCCTTGGGGCCGAAGGCCACGCGGCACTGCTCGTCGGCGCTGTAGTAGAGGCCAGGCTGCGCCTCGGGCGGGCGTCCGGCAGAACCTGGCTGAGGCCCCGGTGGGTCCCACACGCAGCGCGCCCGTCCTGCGCTGCGACAAGGCCCCGGCTCAGGCCCGGGGTGTACCCGGCTCAGGACCGGGAGGAGGCGGGACGGAGAATTGAGCGCGGGAGTGGAGACTTTTGGAGACGTGGCCTTTTGTGAGTGGGAACAGGAGTTCTCAGCCCGCGCCCCCCACCAGGAGTCGGCTCTGGGCTGGGACCAAGACTAAGACTCTGACCTGACCTGCGCAGAGGTGGGTGGCCAGCAGAGGGATGGGCGACAGAGGGACGGATCAGAGTGGGATGGGGCAGATGCAGGTTAGGCCGGGGAGGGCTGCGATCGGCGGGAAGGGGACGCAGGGGGACACGTAGGTGGGCGGGGGAGATCGGGGTGTGGGGCTGATGGAGCGACAAGAGGGGTCGGCGCGGGTGGAGGCAGACAAAGGGTAAGCGGGCTAATTGAGGGGTAGGCGAAGGAACAGGGTGGGTGCAGGGGCCTGAGACGGAGGGTGGGTGTAGGAGGGTGGGGTGGAGGGTGGGTGTAGTCAAGCGGGAGAGAGGGGAGTGGATGTGGAGTCAGGGGGTGGGATGGGAGTGGCCGGAGGGGCGGGTGCCCAGATTGGTTGGAACGAAGGCGTGGGTGCAAGGGGGCAAGGGAGGACGCAGAGGTGGGCTCAGGGAGAGGGTGGACGGACGGGTGGGGTCAGGGAGTGGACGGAGAGTTTGGGCGCAGAGGGTGGGACAGAGCGGTGGGTGCAGCGGTGGTGCAATTGTGGGTCTGGAGCGGGGACAGGAAGGAGGGCTGAGTGCGGAGTGGGGACGGACGTAGGGCGTGGTGGCGCGGGCGGCTCCTCGGGCGAACTGGAGCCTCACGCGCCCCTCCCGCGGGGCCGCCGCTACCTGAGCAGGCTCAGCAGCTGCCGGCGGCTGCAAGGGGACCAGGCGAGGCCGGCGCGGGGCGCAGCGCCGTCCGAAGCCATCACGTGTCCGCTGGGGCCGCAGCCGCTGCCGGGTGCGCCGTCGTGCTCCAGGCCGAAGCTGGCGGGCAGGAGGAGCTGGCTCAGGCGGCGGGCGAGGGCGCGGGCGGGGTCAGGGTCGGCGCGTCTGGAGCCCGGTGCCCTCGCGCCGCAGCGCCAGCGAATTTTCGGACCCGGGTCGACCCCTGACTCCGACACCTGCTCACCGGGCACAGTGGAGAGGACCGCGTGCGCCCTGCCTCAGTTTACTCCCGAAGGGAATGCCAGCAGGGTGGCTCCCGCGTCTTTTGCTAATAAATATCAAAAGGCTTTAAAAACGTGCGAGCCACATTAATTCATGGTGTTATGAGTCTGCGGAGAGGTGGGGGCTGTTTACAGGGATGACATTCACCTACTGAGAGGAAAGCGCGATTTAAAGGTTCAGTGAAAATGTGTTTGCCCTTGGCCATTGTTTGCATTCCTAGGCCAGGAAGGGGAACAGTTTCCAAAGGGTCACAGCAGAGCTTGCTTTCCCCCAAGCGGAACTGATGGAGGACTCCTAATGGGGTGGGAGAGGCCGCGCACCGGCGCTGTAAGAGGTGGACACCGGACCAGAGGACTGGCTAAAACAAGGAGGGGGAAGATCCTTTCCATAAGCCACGCCCACCAGTGTGCCATGTCAGTTTACCATTGCCGTGGCAACACCCAGAAGTTACTGCCCCTTTTTCTAGAAATGTCTGCATAATCTGGCTCCTTAATTTACATATAATTAATAGTGAGTATAAATAGAACTGCAGCCCTGCCTTCCAGCTGCTCTTTTTGGGCACAGTGTCTGCTTCAAAAGAGCTGTACGCTGTGCTGTACACTCTGCCCACTGCTGCTTCAATAAAAAGCTGCTAGCTAACACCGCCTGCTCCCTCTTGAATTCCTTCCTGGGTAAAGCCAAGGGCCAGTGGCTCACGCCTGTAATCACGGCACTTTGGGAGGCGAGGCGGGCGGATCACGAGTTCAAGAGATTGAGACCATCCTGGCCAACATGGTGAAACCCCATCTCTACTAAAAATACAAAAATTAGCTGGGCATGGTGGCGAGTGCTTGTAGTCCCAGGTACTCAGGAGGCTGAGGCAGGAGAATTGCCTGAACCCCGGAGGCGGAGGTTGCAGTGAGCCAAGATCACACCACTGCCCTCCAGCCTGGTGCCTGGCAACAGACGGAGACTCTGTCTCAAAAAAAAAAAAAAAAAAAAGCCAAGAACCCTCCCAGGCTAACCCCCAGTTTTGGGGCTCACCTGTGCTGCATCACAGCAGCAGAAGGAAACTATGCTCCCTCTGAGGAAGAAGGAGCCCTGCCTTGCCCCACACCCAGGAACCCTGCCTCGACCCTTCCAGGCTCAGAGGGATTGAAAAGGATTGGCTGGAGGTTGATGGGTAAGGAAGGTGGAAATTCACTTTTTATTTTAGAAATTACGTACTATTTGAATTTTTCCAACAATTGGGTATTGTTTTCGTAATTAAAAAACTAAATAAATGAAAATAAACCCATCCCCCTAAATGGTTACAGGTAGGAGTGAAGGTTTGCCCACAAGAATGCATAATATGGGCTGGGTGTGGTGGCTCACGCCTGTAATCCCAGCACTTTAGGAGGCCGAGGCGGGCGGATCACCTGAGGTCAGGAGTTCGAGACCAGCCTGGCCAACATGGTGAAACCCTGTCTCTATTTAAAAAAAAGAATGCATAATATTCACAACAGGAAAACGTGTTCAGACAACCTTGACACCCAAGAAGAAGGGACTGATCACATAAATTATGGTGCACACCTGTAAGAGACCTGGGCTAATGTTTGGGATGTATTATTACATAAAGAGCACGTCGATCCTGCACTCACCCTAGGAAGAAAAAAAATAGCAGGTAACAAAGGAATGCATAGCATAATCACAATTTTCCTTTAATTCAGGGAATCCAAACTAAATCCCAATTTTGCAAACAAAAAATTATGTGTGTGTATGTAAAGAAGACACTGAAATTAAATACAAAAAGTAAAGAGACATTATCTCTAAATGGTGGGATTTGAGATAATTTTTACAGCCTGCTTTTTCTTTACCTGAATTTTCTACAGAAGTATTTTCTACCTGCTAAATGTGTTTTGCTCATCTTTTGGGAAAAAAAAGTTTCTTTTAATCAAACAGTATCAGATTCCCCTGCCCTCACACCCTACCCTTCTGATTCTGCTGGGGTGAGGGGTACAGGCCCCTCTGGAGAACTCTGCAAAGACCCACTGCTTGCCAAGACCACCCCCACCCTGGGGGCCCAGGTCAGCTCCTTCCAGAGCCCGGGGACAGCTGGTGGGGCTGCTTACCTGTGCCCAATCTCATGGGCAATGGTGACTCCCAGGTCGAAGCCGGTGTCCTCGGTAATGAGGCAGCTCCAGGTTGGGGAGCAGGCACCGCCCAGCTGGGTGACCCCCCGCACCTGCCGGTTACCATCAGGCAGCTCCAGGTCAAACCTCCGTGAAAGAAAACAGTCACTTGGGTGGTGCGAAGGCACGTGACTGCCCCGGGGTCACCTTTGCAGAGTGGAGAAGGCCAAGGGTGCAGCCTTCCCAGGCTGGCCGACCAGCACCCCATCAGAAAGCTCGGCTACCTGGTGATATAGAGGACCAGGTCAGCATGGCCAGGATCCATGTCATCCTTGGGGTTGATGGTCTGGCTCCACCCACATACACTCAGCAGGGACGAGGTGAGGTTGGCTGTGATATTGGGGGCACCCTGCGGATCAACAGCAAAGCCTGCGTTTAGGACACCCCTACCAGGCACCGTGCTGACTGTGGTCGGTGTGTTTCTCAGTTAGTCCACATAAAACCCTATGACTAGCCCATGTTACAGGTGAGACAGCTGAGGCTCAGAGAAGTAATCAGGCAGCCTGAGCTGAGTGCTGGGTGAGCTGGGAGGGCAGCTGGTCTGAACGCCCTTCTGTGACCCATGCTGATTGGGGCACCCAGGAAGAGGTTAAAGCGGAAGGAGACGCGGTGACTTGGGTTTCACACTCCGTATGGAGTGCCAAGCTCCAACTCCGTGCCTACCTCAGGCTCGGTCAGAATGACCATCTTCACCAGGTGTACTCGGAACTGAGCCCCCAGGGATGGGTCCCGCAGCAGTTCTGCCCCCTGTGAAAGGGCAAATGAGAGAGGTAACCCATCCGGTGGGCATTGCCAGCCCCAGGCAGCTGCTGATTCCCAGGGACCCCCGGGTGTGAAGGGCTGGAGGGGCTGCTCCATCAGCATGTGTGGGCAGCTGTGGGGACACTTAAAGTGCCAGGCACTGTCAGCCGTGTCTCTAGTGCTCCTCAGTTCATGGCTCAGGAAGGCCAAATAACGCATGGAAAAGAAACTCCGAAGCAAGGGGTGGGAGCACAGAGACAGACACGGGTTGGATATTCCGGTCGAACGCTCCTCCTCTCAGCCCACATTCAGCCCAGGCTTTCCCGTCTCTGCTCCCTGCCCACAACACGTTCTCTTCCACCTCTGTTTGCTGAATCTGACCCATGTTCATGACTGGCAGGAGGGTCCCCTCCTCCCACCAGGAAACTTTCCTGGTCCCCTCTCAAGAAAGGCTCTCTCCTCCCTCTCCAGATGGGTGTGTCTGTCACAATGGTGACTGTGGCCAACCTGTATTGCACCAGCCCGTCCTCTAAATTAGGGTTGGGGCCAGGCGTGGTGGCTCACACCTGTAATCCCAGCACTTTGGGAGGCCGAGGTGGGCAGATCATTTGAAGTCAGGAGTTCAAGACCAGCCTGGACAAACTGGTGAAACCCCGTCTCTACTAAAAATACAAAAAAAAATTAGCCAGGCGTGGTGTCAGGCGCCTGTAATCCCAGCTACTCAGGAGGCTGAGGCAGGAGAATCGCTTGAACCTGGGAGGTGGAGGTTGCAGTGAGCCGAGATTGTGCCACTTCACTCTAGCCTGGGCTGAAAAAATGAAACCCTATCTCAAAAAAAAAAAAAAAAAAAAAAATTAGCTGGGTGTGGTGGCACCAGACTGTAATCCCAGCTACTCAGGAGCCTGAGGCAGGAGAATCGCTTCAACACAGGAGGTGGAGGTTGCAGTGAGTCGAGATGGTGCCATTGCACTCCAGCCTGGGCAACACAGTGAGACTCCGTATCAAAAAAAAATAGGTGACCAGATCCAAGGCTGGGGGCAAAGTGGCACTAGGTACCCCACATACAGAGGGAGCTGCCTGCAGCTGGGAGCAGAAATGTACTTCAGGGCCAACTTACTGAGTGACGGCAGAGCAGTCCCCTCCTCTGGAGCAGACCAAGGGGACAGGAAAGGGACCTGGAGTTATCAGCTGAGGCTAATTTCCTATTTTGTTCCCCAAATCCAGTAAGAATTTTAAAACATTTTTTCAGTGAATGAATTTTGTAAGTTTCTTCTTATCATGCCCGACACCATTGTACACAGTTGACAGATGCAACCTGGTATTTTTAAAGGTATTAACTCCTCCAGGCCTTGCTGCCTAGCACACCGTCGTTTTTTGTGCGTTGTGTGTGTGCTCTAGCTGCATGGGGTCTGTTCAAACTGCCTTTGCTGGCTTGTTTGTCTTCCTTTACTTTTTTTTCTTTTGAGACGGAGTTTCACTCTTGCTGTCCAGGCTGGAGTGCAGTGGTGCAATCTTGGCTCACAGCAACCTCTGCCTCCCAGGTTCAAGCGATTCTCCTGCCTCAGCCTCCCAAGTAGCTTGGATTACAGGAGCCTACCACCATGCCCGGCTAATTTTGTATTTTTAGTAGAGACAGGGTTTCACCATGTTGGCCAGGCTGGTCTCAAACTCCTGACCTCAGCCGCCCTCCTCGGCCTCCCAAAGTGCTGGGATTATAGGCGTGAGCCAACGCATCCGGCCTTGTTTGCCTTTCTGAGATGGCGGTTGGGGGGTAGTGCTTCCCTGCCTACACTTCCCCAGCTTTCGAGTGACGGTAATTCAGGTGCTAGCAAGAAATGAAGGTTGGCATCTCCTTTGCCAGCTGTCTCTGTTTAGACTTCAGACTGGTGACCTGTCCTTGCCACTCTGAGTAGGGGATGACAGAACAGAGAGAGGGCAGGGTCGGGATGCAGAGGGAAGGGTTGGGGTGCAGAGGGCAGGGTGAGCAGCACACACACCCCCGTTTGCCAGGGTCGTGTTAGCTGAGCTTCCTGGGGGTCAAATGGATACTGGGGACGAGACCAGCCTTGAGGGTGGTCCCAGGTGAAGGGACTCGAGTAGGGAGAGGCTGCAGGGTGTGCGTCTGCTATGGAGCTGAGGGCGGTGTGGGACCTCACCCACCTCCACCCAGGGGAGGGAGAAGAGGAAGAGCCCGGAGCCATTCTACCTGAGTTTAACCCACAGTATTCAGACTACCAGAAACACCAGTCCACAGACATTGGTCACCAGCCCTGGCTGTGGGGGGTCTGCAGGGTCCGGCGCCATCCCTGGAGGCCACTCCCACAGGGCACTCACGATGTTGAGGTTGGTGAGCACGTAGCGCTCCGTGTCCTCCTGGTGAGCCTGGAAGACATCGGGGCCCGCGGCCACCAGCAGCTCCAGATGTAGGATACCGCCTGCAGCCCGCCTCTGCCTCTGCCTCTGCCTCTGGGAGCCGGACAAAGGAGGGTGGCCTGGAGGGGCAAGGGACAGCAGAGGACGATGGTTCCAGAGAGCAAGTAGTGGCAAGCTAACAGGAGAGGATGCCCTCCCATTCCCTTGACCACTAGCCCATCTGCCTCTGGCCCCCATCAGCCATTAGTCAAGTCACCAATGGCCCTGTTGGGAAGGGAGCTGGCACCCGGAGAAGGTCACAGACACAGGCCTGTGGGCAGTGGGGACAGACCTTTATCATAAGGAAATCCATGGCCTTAGGAGGGAGCCTGAGCCAGAACCTATCTTGCTTCCCACAGAAGGAGTAAATATTTACATCCACAGCCAGAAACCACAAGAGCTCCTGAAAATCAGCCAGCTCAGCAGAGGCCATGGGGCAGGACGGGCCAGCCAATCGGCGACCGTTCCCTTGTGATATTCAACAGAAGCTAGGGTGAGAACCCTAGCTTGGCCAAAACACCCAGACCAGCTTCTATCAACTTGGCAGGAAGTAACAGAGTTAATTAACAGGGGTGACGGCAGCTTCTCTGACCTTCTCCCACCAGATCCACCAAAAATCCCAGACCACTGATTCAGTGGTGAGATACCCCTTGAAAGTCCTGAGAAACTCCCCCGGGAGAGAAGACACCAGGACAAGTACCTTTTAAGGGAGCACCAGGGCTCGTGTAAGAGGACACAGTCTCTGGCTCCAGAGTCTGAAGACAACTCTGCAAGACAAAAGAAGATGGACGAGGCCAGGCGCAGTGGCTCACGCCTGTAACCCTGACGCTTTGGGAGACCGAGGTGGGAGGGTCACTTGAGTCCAGGAGTGTGAGACCAGTCATGGCAACATAACAAGACCACATGTCTTAAAAAAGAAAAAAAAAAAAGAGG